TTTTCCGTTTGTGTTTGTGTAGCATGCCGCCGGGGGATGCGTGGCGTGCGTACTTGCGTCGTATTTGTAATGCGTCACCTCTTCGCAGCATGCGCAAACTGTGTGTGACGTGTAAGCTCGTCCAGTCCTCAGGAGCGTGTCCAGTTGCAGCGATCACTGCACGCGGTTGTGGTCGAGGTGCTCCTGGCCTCGGAATCACCGGGTCTGGCGGTGGCGGCGCGTCATCGCCATCGAACAGATCGTCGCGCATCGATGCTGGTGGTGCCAGATCCTTAACGAGACCCCGACCTGGTGGTGGTCTGTCGGCGTCGGGGCTCGCCTGGGGACCCAGGGATATCGGCCGCAGGATCTTGGGCTTGCTGCGCGCGAGCCTCGGGGGGGAACGTCCCGCGTTCGCCCGCGCGGCGCTCGTGAGCTCCCCTGACTCATCGAGCCAGCAGCATTCTTCTGGACGTCCGGCGCGGTCTGGGCGAGCTCGATCGCGCGGCGGGTCGCGTATGCAGCCGGGGCAGGAGTGCGGTGACTCGCCCGGGCAGGACTGCGGCGACTCAGCGCCTCGTGGGACTGCGCATGTCACTGGGGTCCTGATGTGTTGTGGGTCCAGACTGCTGCGGTTGCCGTTGCACCCTTGGCACTCTGGATACCTCTCTTCGTCGGATGCACTGGCTGATTGTTTGTTACGGCTGGAGGTGCGCGCTCGATCGCTAAACCAGGTGCGGTGCACGATGTCCCCAGCGATTGGAGCCGAGGTGCCCCGGGAAGGGCCCTTCGCTCCTGTGGGGCCGAGGTGTGAACGCTGCTCAGCCTCCGCAGGGGGGGCAGCGGCTGCTGGTGCGGTCTGATCTCCGCCTCGTCGGTGTGGGCGTGCAAGTGCGCGCTGCGGTCTGGAACTCCGCCGGGTGTCTCCTGTCTCCGCCGCCCTTTCGAAGTCGTCGATGACCGTGGCCAGGCGTCCGCTAGGTGCCCTATGTAGTGGGGCGCGGTCTGTGCCTGCTGGCCACTGGATCTGAATGTCGCCGCTCCCTGGACGGACCATCTCGTGACTGCCCGTGTCCAGGATCGCGCGTATCGGCTCCGTGCTTCGCGGGCCCAGATCGTCCAGGCAGGTCGCTGCCTGTTCCCCGCTGCGCGCGTTCTCGCCCGACGGGTGCGCGGCTGCGCCCCGTTGCCGACGTCCGCGGGCACGAGGGCTCGGCCGCGAAAATTTGCTACGGCTGGCGCCCTGTTTCGACGGCGCGTCGGCGCTGCTGGCGCGCGAGCGACCCCCCATCGGATTTAAGACCACTCTAACCTCGCCAGTGGGTAGCTGAATACAGCTGCGACATACCTGAGTGGTGCTCTCTGGCGGGGTCGTTGGCGGCCGCCGGGCCCAAGTGTCCGCCCCGCCAACCTGCGGCAAACCTTGTGGTGACAGCTTTCCCCGCGTGGATGCTGGTGTGTTACGCGCGAGTTCCTGTCTCTGCGCCCCCCGAGGCGCGGTCGGCGCCGCGTCGAAGGGCGCTGCGGGGCGAGGCGCGGAGGCAACGTGGATGTGCGTCACCTCTCGCGCCACCAGTTGCTGTCTGCGCGCTGGGCATTGCGAGAAGGGTGTTCGCGTCTGGTCGCCTTCAGGCTGAGGCGGTGGTCCTGCTGCTGGCGGGCCAGTCATGACTAAATTGGTCACTGGCAGGGCCCTCGCGCGGCGGCGAGCGCGGCGCTGTTCCATCTGGGCGTCGCGTTCGGACTCGGCAGTGGCCATTGCAGATGATCGCGCTGTAATTTCGAAAGATAGGTCGCGTGCGATGTTGCATCTGGTTGCCGCGGTAGGCACCTCGGCGAGGTGCGCGTAGCCGCGGCGCTGGAGCCTGGCAGGCGCGGCGGTCTGTCCAGGCCGGCCCCGTCGAAGTCGGGCCAGCTGGCTGAAGCCGCTGACGCGTGGAAGTGTGACTCGCTGGTCGTCGGGGGCCGCGAGCTGTCCTGTCGGGCGGGCGGGGGCCCCCCGCTGCGCCGTCGATCGATCGCGCGCGGGGGCCCCGCGGAGCGGTCGTCCGAGGAGCGGCGTGAAATCTCGGGCGCGCTTGGTCAGATGACGCGGCCCGTTCCGAGGCCGCGGGGGCAGCGCCGGGGGGCGTCGGCATCGCCAGGAGGTGTTGTCCTGAGGGCCGCGCGGCAATCTTGAACATCTGAAGGGCAAGTATGGCGACGGGCGCGTCTGCGCGCGCGCGCGGCTCTGGGCGGCGCCCGTGAAGCCGCCGACCGCGAGCCGCGGGCGGGCGCAGGCATCTGCTAATGTCCCCCGGGGACGGGCCGCGCTGGAGACAGGCGCCGCCGTCCAGGGCGCCGCCGATGGGCCCCGAGTCGGCGTGGCCCCCGAAGGTCGCGCCGCCTCCTTCGCCGCCTGGGCCCCCCGCGCGGGCCCGTGGACACTGGGCTCCGAAGTCGTGCTTCGAGCCGCAGATGCTGCGCGCCACCGCGGCCCCGTCGTGCCCCTGAGGGTTCGTCTTGCGGCCCCTGCCTCTGGCGCTGGAACGCCTGCCTCTGCCTTTGCCTCTGCCGCTGCCTCCGTGGAACGCGTTGTCGACCTGGTTTTCAGTCAATTGAGCAGGGGGTCTGTGCTTTTGAGATCCCTTGCGTTTACATTGGCCCTCGCCAGAGAACGCGCGCCCATTCTGCTTGATTGATCTGCGAACTTTCTGGCGGGCTTGTTCGCGCGGCGTCGCCGCAGGGCGTGGGTCTCAGCTGGGGATCAGCCCCTGCGCTGTTCGGACTGCCAGTCGGTAGCTCTTCAAAGATATGAGCTGGCACCTGAACTGGCGCCACTTGAGCAATCGAAGTGCGCCTGCGCGTCCTCAGAGCGCTGCCGCGCGGCGGCAGGATGCGCGACGCGCGGCGGCGCAGCGCTCGGCTGAACATTGCCGGCGCCCGTTGGGGCACCTCCGGCGCCGGGAGCTCCGCGGCGCTAGCACCCAATAATCAAGTCCTTATGAATGCCAAGGGTCTGCTGCGCGTGAACCGTGTCAGTTGTCATCGAGCACGCCTGCGAAGCCTGCGGAAGGCGGCGGCGAACGAAGGGCGCTGGCGACGTTGTTGGGTGCGTGCTCCACAGTGTGACCCGCGCGCCGGAGCATGGTCGTGAGACTGTTGAATAGAGGCTCCGTGGCTGGATGTCGTTTGACGTAGGGCTGGAGCAACGTCGTGAGTTGGCTGGCGGTGACGTCGGCCGCTGAGGTGCAGCCAGCTGTAGCCCCCCTCATGACGTTGCAGCTCCACCATCGTGCGTAGCTCGAAATCGCAGCGTGAGCAACCGCGAGAGCAGCGCGTCGGTGGTCTCGTTGCGGCGCCTCGGGAACTTGAAGAGCTCGCGGGCGGCCTGTTGGCGTGACTCTTTGCCAAATGGTCCGAACTGGATCGCGAGGTTCGCGATGAGGTAGGTGACGTCGTCTTCTTGCCATTCGTTAAACATTCCTCCTTCTGTCGTTTCGTTGAAAATCATGAGACGACCGAGCTCGCGGGCAGCGCCGCCGAGGTTCAGGATTATGGCAGCAAGTTGCTCGGCGCTGTCCATGTTGGTGGCGAACACGCTCCAGGCGAGTACGTTCTGCACCCATGGGCGGAGCGGGTCGACAGACCCTCGCTCGGGTGACCATGGCGGCGGCTTGCTGGGAATGATGCCTCCCCTGCCACCGCCTCCACCTTTCTGTCGGGCCCCTCCAGGCATCGTGCAAGCGAGCCGAAGAAAGGCGATCGCGGAGGGAATGGTGATGCTGCCCGGGAGCGCCAGGATGGATATCCTCTTCTGCAAGACTCCACCGCGATGGAAGCTGTGCAGGCGCCTCGGTGCTCGGACCTGCACAGGGACGAACGCCATCTCCATGCTGGGGCACCCGTCGTGCTGATGCCCTTAGTTGATGCTAGAGGTGGGGAAGCAAGCCCGTTAATCAACAGGGAGTCGCTCGGGGTGCGCGGCGTGCTCACTAGGATGTAAGCCAGCACTGTTGCGCACAGCCCAAACTGAAGTACTGGCCGAGTCATGCGGCCCAACGCAAGAGACTGCGTTCTGCGGCCAGTACCAGACGGATGCGAAGTGACCAGGGCGGCGTCGTGGCGATCCCCTGGGCGGTTGCTCACCTGCGTGTGTCCAACAGCCGCTGATGCCTTCGTAGCCAGGCTCTCACAGGAACTCACACGGTCTGTCGTTCGCCTCATCGTGCCTGTGAACGTCCAGGGGCGACCTACCCAGAGGTTTGCGGAAAAGACACAAGTCCAGGCTGTTCAAGGAATGGGGGTGGTACCACAGCTGACGTTGAGGGGAGCGCGAATGAGCGTCCACTTTGCGAGCCAAGATCGCTCCCAGCTCCGCAGCCAACTAGAATTTCGGGCGTTGGTGGTTGGTGGTGACGAGAAGGTTGGCATGGCGGCAATAAGAAGCGCTAGCGGGCTCTTTCTCATATACGCGTTTGTACGCGCCGGCGCTCGAGCCAGGCGGTGACAGAGCATCCGATTTGAGTGCGGAGGAGGAGGAGGAGGCGGGGGGGGAGGAGGAGGAGGAGGCCGAGGAGGAGGAACCGGCATCGAGGAGGAGGAGGATTATGCTGAGGAGGAAAAGGAGGCGGATGAGCAGGAGGAGGAGGGGGAGGAGGAGGAGGAGGAGGCGGAGGAGGACAAATGAGGAAGACACGGGAAGCAAAGAGAAAGGGGGGGGGAGGAACGAAAAAAGCAAGGACGCCATGACAACAGAGAGGAGGGAGGAGCATGAGGATAATTAGGGAAGAAGGATCGGGAGGAGGAGGAGGAGGAGGAGGAGGAGGAGGGGGGAGGAGGAGGAGGAGGAGTCAGGAGGAGGAGGAGGAGGAGGAGGAGGAGGAGGAGGAGGAGGAGAGGAGGAGGAGGAGGAAGGATTGATGAGGAGGAGGAGGAGGAGGAGGAGAAGGAGAAGGAGAGGAGAAGGAGGAGGAGGAGGAGGAGGAGGAGGGGGAGGAGGAGGAGGGAAAGGGACGAAGAGAGGAGGAGAGGAGGAGGAGGAGGAGAGGAGGAGGAGGAGGAGGAGGAGGAAGAGGAGGAGGACGAGGGGGCGTCCCTCGTGGCGAGGGGGCGTCCCTCGTGGCTCCTCAAAAAGGCCTGGGATCCTGCGCGCAGGTGCTCTGCCAGCCTGGGGGAGCGCGCCGCCCCGACTCTGCCGCTGATGGCGCGCAGCGACGGAGACAGGGCGAGGGGGAGGCGGCCTTCGAGGCACGGCGCCCCAGACGAGTGCGGGCTCCAAAGGGCCAGGAGCGAGGAGGAGGAGGAGCAGGAGGAGGAGGAGGAGGAGGAGGATGGGAGGAGAAGAAGGAGGAGGAGGAGGTGGAGGAAAATAGGAGGAAGAGGAGAAGGAGGACGAGGAGGAAGCGAAGGATCGAGGAGGAGGATATGATCAAGAGGAAGACAGGTGAGGAAGACGAGAAAAGCAATTAGGAAAGGGGAGGAAGTGGGAATCTGGGGGAGGGAGGAGCAGACATTAGGAATGACACCATGACAACAAAGGGGGGGAGGATGAGGGGAGGAACCTGGAGAAGGAGGAGGAGGAGGAGGAGGAGGAGGAGGAGAACGTGGAGAAGGAGG